GGAGCTCCCCACCCCCGATCGGCCCTGCTCTGTGCGTGACATGGTACGGAGCCCCAACCCCCGATAGGCCCTGCTCTGTGCGTAACAGGGGGTGGCGCCGCAACCTCCCCAATCGGCCCTACCCTGAGCGTGACTGGGGGCGGCATTGCAACCTCCCGATCGCCCTGCTCTGTGCATGACAGGGGGCGGCGCCAAAACTCCCCAATTGGCCCTGCTCTGAGCCCGACCAAGGGCTGCACCTAGGGATTAGGCCTGCCCTCTGCCACCCGGGAGCAGGCCTAAGCCAGTAGGTCGTTATCTCCTGAGGAGTCCCAGACTGGGAGAGGGCACAGGCCGGGATGAGGGACCCCTCCCTCCCCACCGAGTGCACACATTTTTGTGCACCAGGCCTCTAGTTTATTTTAATTAAACAGCAAGTATATTTTCTAATGGAAAAAATATTCAACTTAGTGTATTACATATAATAGGCCTGGAGTTTATTTCATTCTGTTTTCTAAATAAAATGTGGGTTTGGGCATTTGGCCTTCTTGTGTGAGAGAATTTGAGGCCTTTGAATGGCATTTGGATTGTTACTTGAAAGTGTAATTTGGCCTTAATAATAAGAGAGTTGTTTTTTTTAGTCTAGAACACTTATCTTTAGAAATAAGTAAGATTAAGAGTCACATTTTACATATAAAGAATGCTGTTGGTCAAAAGCTCAAAAGGAGAACACAAATAATTATTGGGGATATGTTAGTCCTCAGAAATGATATGGAGAAAACATGTCAGAAGCCTGTCAGTTTTAAACATAAAATTTTGGCCCAGCCAGCATGGCTCAGTGGTTGAGCATTGACCTATGACCTAGGAGGTCATGGTTCGATTTCGGTCAGGATAAATGCCCAGGTTGTGGACTTGATCCCCAGTGTGGGGTGTTCAGGAAGCAGCAGATCCATGATTCTCTCTCATCATTGATGTTTCTCTCCTCCCTACCTCTCTCTAAAATCAATAAAAATATATTAAAAATTTTTTGAGCAGATCTTTGTGATGGAATTGTTATGGCTGAAGGGATTGTATCTTTTATTAGCTTTTCAGTGAGTTCTATGATATGAAAAATTCTGAATGACTGTTAAAAGCTATTACATGATATTCCCCCCACAATCAAACATTTCTACTTCTTTTTAATCAGTCATATCCCACATTAATTGTTTTTTGCCCAGGAAAATAGTTAGAATTTTGTTTTGTTAGTAAATACTTTGGTTTAAATTTGGTAAAGTTTCTTAAAGTCTTTATATATCCATCAGCAAAGACAAAAGCACTCAAAATAAAAAGGTGGGCAAGATCCTTGAAGAACTTCTATTAATATTTCTTTCATGGCAGGTCTGGCAATGAATTCTTGTTTTAGTTTGAGAAAAAGTGTTTATTTCTCTTTCACTTTTGAAGGCCAATTTCGCTGGAAATAGAATTCTAAGTTTGTAGTTATTTTTCTTTCAATGTTTTAAATAGTTTACTTCACTCCCTTTTTGCTTGAGTGTCCGAAGAGAAAGAAACTGATGGAATTTTTAAAAAACATATTTTATTGGTTTTTTACAGAGAGGAAGGGAGAGGGATAGAGAGTTAGAAACATCAGTGAGAGAGAAACAGATCAGCTGCTTCCTGCACACCCCCTAATGGGGATGTGCCTGCAACCAAGGTACATGCCCTTGACCGGAATCGAACCTGGGACCCTTCAGTCTGCAGGCAGACACTCTATCCATTGAGCCAAACCCATTAGGGCTGGAATTCTTATCCTTGTTCATCTCTAGGCTTTTATTTTGCAGTTTCTTTCAAGATTTTCGCTGTCTTGGGCTTTCTGTAGTTTGAATATGGTATGCATAGGTGTAGACTTGCCTACATTTATCCTCTTTTGTGTTCTCTGAGCTTCCTGGATATGTAGCTTGGTGTATGTTATTAATTGTGGAAATTTTTCTGGTATGCCAATTACAGATATGTTACATTTTGTGAAATTACTTTACAGTTATTGGATGTTCTGTTGGTTTTTTTGCTATTGTAGTTGCTTGTTTTTTTAATTATTTTTTTCCTCTTTGCATTTTTTTGGGAAATTTCTATTGACCTATCTTCAAGCTTACTGATTCTGTCCATGGCAGTGTCTAGTCTGCTGTTGAGCCTACCAATGGCATCCTTTATTTCTGTTACAGAGTTTTTGATTTCTTGTATTTCCTCGTGATTATTCATCTGCTTACCTTACTAACTGTGCTTGCATATTGTTTTTTTCCACTATCACTAGTAACATATTAGCATAGTTATTTTACATTCCCTGTCTGGCCCTGGCTGTTGTGGCTCAGTTGGTTGAGTGTCGTCCTCTGCACCAAGGGGCCGCTGGTTTGATGTCTGGTCAGGACACATTCCCAGGTTTGGGGTTCGATCCCCAGTAGGGGGCGTGCAAGAGGCAGCTGATCGATGTTTCTCTCTCATTGATTTTTTTTCTCTCTCTTTTCCTTCCTCTCTAAAATCAACAAAAACATATTTAAAAAATAATAGATACTCTCTCATTCCAAAAATATTTGAGTTCAGCTATGATGCTTGCTTTGCATTTGTGTCTTTTCTTGCCTTTTAAAAGCATGATGTGGCACAACCAGTATGGCTCAGTGGTTGTGTGCCTACCTCTGAACCAGGAGGTCACGGTTCGATCCTCGTCAGGTCACATGCCCAGGTTGTGGGTTCGATCCCCATTGTGGGGTGTGCAGGAGGCAGCCAAACAATGATTCTCTCTCATTGATGTTTCTATCTCTCTCTCTCCCCCTCTCCCTTCCTCTGAATTCAATAAAAAATAAATAAAAGCATGATGTAATTTTTTTTGTTGACAGTTGCGCATGATGTATTAGGCAATAGGAGCTGAGGTAAATAGGTTTTTAGTGTAAGGGTTTATATTAATCTAGCTAGGGATTGTATTTTGTTTAATATTTGCTCTAGCCGTACGTGCCAGAGGCTTCAGATTCTTTTAGTGTCCTTGTTACTGTGTCTCTTAATGTATTTGGGTTTCCCTAAGAACTCTTTCTAGATAGTATTTGCACTGTGCAGCTCTTTCAGCATTAACTCTTATACCGAAGCTCCATTGGTGTGGTGGTAAGGTGAGGGAGAGAGGAAGCATCCTATAATCTTAGAATTAAATCTTAAACTTAGTGGATCTCTGTCCTGGGACTGTGACCATTATAAGCCTTTCTTAGTTGTTGTCTTTCCCTCCACCCCCAACACGGAAGAGAAGGGACTGGAATCTGAGAAATGCCCTTTCCACAGGTGGGATAAGTCCCTGATAAGGTCATTTCCTTGGAGTGTAAGTCTTTGTTATGGAGAATGGTCTGGTTCTTGGTTATTTCACAGTGATTACTTTTTCCTTTCCCTTTGCCAGAACTACAAAGACATATTTTTTTTAAAATATATTTTATTGATTTTTCACAGAGAGGAAGGGAGAGAGAGAGAGAGTTAGAAACATCGATGAGAGAGAAACATCGACCAGCTGCCTCCTGCACATCTCCTACTGGGGAAGTGCCCGCAACCCAGCTACATGCCCTTGACCGGAATCGAACCTGGGACCTTTCAGTCCGCAGGCCGATGCTCTATCCACTGAGCCAAACCGGTTTCGGCCAAATACATATTTATGGGCTCTTCAGGGTGAGAACAGGATGGGATTTCTGGAAGTAAAGCCCACAAAAGTATGGGGTTCTCCTAAGACTACAGTCCCCAGAAGTTTCCCACTCTCATGATATTCCACACTCAGCCTCCAGGGATTCATTGAAATTACCATGAAAGTATTTGTGATGGATTAACTTTTTGTCCCTCAAACAGTAATGTTCAAGTTCTAATTCTTGGTAAGTATGAATGCAACATTATTTGAAAGTAGAACCTTTGAAGACGTAGCTAATGATCTGAACATGATGTCATCTAGGTTTAGGATTGGCCATTAATCCAAAGACTGGTGCCCTTATTAAGACTAAGGAGAGGGAGATCTGAGACAGATATATATAAGGGGAAGGCCATGTGCAGATGGAGGCAGAGGTTGGAATTAGGCAAGCCAAGGAATTCCAGAGATTGCTGGCAGCTTCCAGATGCCAAGATAGAAGTATGGAGCAATTCAGGGTGAAAACAGGATGGGATTCCTGGAAGTAAAGCCCATGGAAGCAATTCTTCCATGGAGTCTTAAGAAAGTTCCAGGCCTGCTGGATACCCTGATTTTGTGCTCTGGCCTCCAGAGCTATAACAGAGAACAGTGTTGTATTTTAAGTCACCTAGTTTGTGTCAGTTTGTTACAACAGCTTTGGGAGACTGGTAACAGTGTTCCTCCCAGTTTATGGCTCTAGTGGTTCTACTGGATGTGATCTATTAGATGATGGCTGTGACTCTCTGAATATGTCTATCTTTCCATATCTTGAAGTGGTAGTTTGCTCTGTGTCCTCATTTCTCTGATGGGTTCAAAGAAAGTCATTGATTTTCAGTTTGTTTAGCTTTTTTCTTGTAAGGATGAGAAGGATGAGAGTGACAACTTCCAAGATTTTTACATGTTGGAGCTAAAACTGAGTCATGTATTTTTTTAAAAAAATATTTATTGACTTAGGAAGGGAGAGAGAGAAAGAGACATTGATGTGAGTGAGAAACATAAATCAGTTGCTTTCTGTATTGCACCCCTACTGGGAACTGAACCTGCAACCTTTTGGTGCACAGATGATGTTCCACCCAACAGAGCTACATCGGCCAGGGCCATCTTAGAATACTTTTTCTCCTGATTTTTGTACTGCTGCTGTTATTTTAATCTTTCTGTATTTTAATTTTCTTCCTATTATGTGTCATATAACATAGTACTTTCAGTTGTACATGATTCGATATTTGTATATATTGCAAAATCACCACCACAGTAAGTCTAGGTAAGCATTTGTTACCTATATACATAGTTAGAAAATTTTTTCTTGTAATGAGAATTTTTAAGTTTTACTCTCTTAGCATCTTTCAAATATGCAGTACAGAAGATTTCACATGTGAGATCTTATGGTATTTGGGTATTTGTCTTTCTCTGTCTGACTTATTTCACTTAGCATAATGCCCTCAAGTTCCATCCATGTTGATGCAGATAGCAATATAACCTTCTGTTTATGGTTGAATAGTATTCTGTTGTGTATATATATCACTTTCTTTAAAAAAAATTCCTTTATTCAACAATGGAAGGTTTGGTGGTTTTCATATGTTTGCTATTTAAATAATTCTGCATTGAACATGGTTGTGCATATATCTTTTAAAAGTTAGTTTTTTGTCTTCGGATAAATTCCCAAAAGTGGATTTGTTCAATCATATGATAGGTAGTTCTGTATTTAATTTTTGAGGAACTCTATACTGTTTTCCATAGTGGCTGTACCAATTTATATTCCTACCAACAGCGCACAATTTGGATTGCTTTCTTCACACTTTAAAAGTAAACTGAGCCCGGCCAGTGTGGCTCAGTGGTTGTGTTGACCAGGATCTGAAGACTGAGAGGAGAGGAGACTGCAGAAGAAAAATTTGATGCTAGCAGAGGTTCATGAGGTTTAAAGAAAAAAGCCATCTGATGTGGAATCTTCAGCAAATTATCCAGAGATCTAGCTAAGATAATCAATGAAGGATGATTATATAAATAATAAAACTTGAAAGTTATATAAATAAGTTTTAGACATTAATCTATTGTTTCTTTTTTTAGTTGACTATATTGTGGAGTATGACTATGATGCTGTGCATGATGATGAATTAACTATTCGAGTTGGGGAAATCATCAGGAATGTGAAAAAACTACAGGAGGAAGGATGGCTAGAAGGAGAACTAAATGGGAGAAGAGGAATGTTTCCTGATAATTTTGTTAAGGTAGGTATTTTCAGTTAAAACACCTAGCTATTGCTTTATAGGGTTTAATCTTTAGCATTATATCTTAACTAGAGGCCTGGTGCATGGATTTGTGCACCGGTGGGGCCCCTCAGCCTGGCCTGCGTCCTCTTTGCAATCTGGGATCCCTTGTGGGATGTCGGACTGCTGGTTTCAGCCTGATTCCCAGCAGTTCAACATCCCACTGATGGATGTAGTAGTGCGCCAAGCGGCAGGTGGCCTGGGAGGAGCTGGAGCCTGGACCTGGTGCCGTGCCACTCCCGCTCATCTTGGCTCCTCTGTGCCTGCCACCACAGCTCGGTAAGCTCCCTGAGCGGTGCTCCCACTGTGGGAGCACACTGACCACCAGGGGGTAGCTCCTGTGTTGAGCGTCTGCCCCCTGGTGATCAGTGTGCATCATAGTGACCGATCGATCTGTTGACTGGTTGAACGGTCGTAGTAGTTTGCATTTGGATAGCACTTCATAATTTACAAAGAAGTTTTACCGTGAAATTCTTACTTGAGCCTTCAAAAGTCTTATGAAATAAGTGGGATATGTATTTATGTGTGTGTGTGTGTGTGTGTGTATCCTATATATCCATTTTAAATATGGCAATATATAGACTGAGTGGCTAAATGGTTTTCTCAATGTTGGATAGCTAATATGATATAGAATCTGAACTGAAATCCAGGATTGTTGCCTCTCTATTTAAGTCTTGTTGTATCTTGTTGCTTTTCAGCATTGCAACAGTTAATCTAGCAAAGTAACAGTTATACTTCAATCATAAACATTTCTTTTTAGTAAATAGTCTAGTTACCTCTGTCAGTAAACAATAACATCCTATCTAATAAAAGAGAAACATGGTAATTGGCGTACGACCGCTACCATTCCCATTGGCTAATCAGGGCAATATACAAATTAACTGCCAGCCAAGAGGGCGGCTGGCAGCCAGGCAGCTTGAAACTAACATGAGGTTTGCTTGCTGCAGTGACGGAGGACTCCAACGTTCCCCGCCTGCTGCTTCAGGCTTCTGAGCTGCAACTCTAAGCAACTATGTTACAAATATAGAAGCTAAACAAAACCCCAGACACCTGCTTTAGTCCGCTGGGCTTCAGCCAGCAGGATCGCAACATTGTTTCAAATACAGAAGGTAAACAAAGGCCAGAAACCTGCTTTCAGCAGCGGAGGCCTAAGAGCTGGAGCCAAGCC